CCCCCCCCCCCCCCACCCAAAGGCCCAAGAAAAAATCAAAATTTGTCTCGGGATGCGATTGGATGCGGCGTGCTAATTTTGTTTTTGGTCCCTAGCTGGATTTTGCTGGGATGGGGGAGCAACGACGAACCGACACCTGCGCTTTGTGTTTTTTTTTGTCTTGGGCCTGGGCTCTCGTGCACTGTGTGGTCAGGGTGTGCTTGTGCCCCAACGCTCCGCAAAGTAGCGCATGACGTGCACTTGCATGTATGGTTTGCAACTTCGCACCATTCTAGAGGGAGGGTTTATTTTGAGCAGTGTAGCACCTGTTACTTTTTAGAGGTTAGAACTATCCTTTGAAAAAAAAAAAAAAAAGGGAGGATCTCCAGAAAGGAGTTCTTTTCTCTCTTTAAACCACCACTACCTCTGTCACTCTTCGGAAAAATAGGAAAATTCAAAATTAGCTGTTTTGAAGTGTTTTCCCATCTTGTCCGAACATTTCGGGGGTTGGACGAGGCTCTGCAGTTGGGCCTTGTGGGCCCCTTCGAAAGACAAAAAGAAAAACAAGTTTAAACAACAGATCATGTCGGGGAAGGCCGTGCACCAAGTTGTGGTCACACCAAAACTCACATGTTTGTATCTAACCGCTATAGTGGCCAGTTTCAGGTTTTCATTGTTTGCGTTTCTTGTTTTCTTTCTTTTATAGTTTTGGTGCCCCGCCAGGGAGAGGCACGGTGCGGTCCACGGGCTGTTGCCACTTTGTGGAGGAGGGCATGCCCACACTATTACTTTGCAGAATGTATGAAACCTGTTTTCCCGGCCTAAGTTCAGTTTCAAGTTTTTTTGTCCTTTTTTTTTCTTCCGTGGACCTGACACCCTTGCTGCAACACTCTCGCTGAGGGCATGCTCACACAACGACTTTAGGCTAGGTATCTACGTGGTATCACGTCCAGAGGGGTGTTTGTTTTTCTTTCTTTTATTTTTTGTGGCTGCAAGCGGATTGTTTTTCGGAAGTCTGGCCGCGCTTTTTCTGTGCTTTTTTCAGTAGAGTACCAGAAAAGAAACAAAATGGAACCAGGCTCGGCAGGGTGCGCAGTGAAAATCAGGGTCGACAAAAACAGGCTCGGAGGTAGTGGTGGCTTAAGAAGATTCGCATCCAACACGCAGCTGAGGCTGGGAATCCTCAACCACTACGATTTCTGAAAAATGGAAATATCTGGTTTCTATGAGCTGCACTTCAATTTATTTAATTTGGCGAAGAATTCCTGATTCTCGTGTTGCACTTTGTCCCTGTTGCGCTACAGATTGAGGACTTGAGCAATAAGCAATGCCAGCCGGTTTCACAGTTGAAGTTTGTTGCCGATGCTATGGCTCAGGTGAGAGTTTTGCACAGCATTCAACAAAAGCATGACGGTCTTTTTTCTTCTTATCCCTTTGGGGTAGCCCTCAGCATTAACAAAATAAAAAAATAAAAATGATCGATTGATTGATTTATTTGTAATGGGTGTTGATTGTTTGGCGAATCTGTCGATTGATTGATTGATCAATCGATAAAAAAACACCGCGCGCATCAATGTGCGGCCTTGTGAGGGAGCGCACGCTCCCTCTTTCTCTCTGCCTCTCTGTGTGGGCACGCGTGTGTGTGTGTGTGTGTGTGTGTGTGTGTGTGTGTGTGTGTGTGAGAGAGAGAGAGAGAGAGAGAGGTCGTGTGGGTGTGTGTTGTGTTGTGTGAGGTTGTGTGTGTGTGTGTGTTGTGCGTGTGTGAGGTTGTGTGTGTGTGTGTGTGTGTGCTTGTGTGTGTGTATGTGTGTYTGTGTGTGGGTGTGCGCGTGTGTGTGCTTGCATGTGTTCGGTGTGCACGCGTGTTTTTGTGTTCGTGCATTTGTGTGTGCATGTGTGTGTGTGTGTGTGTGTGTGTGTGCATGTGTGTGTGTGGAGGGAGAAGGGGAGGGGGGGCGGACCCTCCCCCGACCAATCAATCAATCAATCATTTCATCGCTGCTTCTTTTCTGAATGTGTATATAATATATATATCATCAATATATATCATCGCTATACATTTGATTAACTGATTGATTGATCGGCTGGTTGGGTGTTACATACTTCAATGAGTATGGGCAGAACCAAAGATCAACCAATATAGGATGAGCATTTATGCAGCGGAAGTCTGATAACGAACTGACTCACATAGACTGACTCACATAGACTGACCTACATGGCAT